TAAATGATTGTAGGATTCAGTTGATGATAAACTAATGACGCTACAAATAAGTCCAAATAACACTTGATACGCAATGACATGATTTTTTTTTTGATAACAAAATTGATTGATGTACTACCGGTATGCAACTTTTGCAAGTTGACAGAAGGGGGCAAGGCAAATAAAAAAGGCATTTTACGTTTTTACAGGAAATAAAATAAATGTTCCATTTACAGTAAAAAATAAGTTTTTACACTTACAGATAAAGCAAATTCCATTCTACATTTTTATTATATATTTGATCTGTGTTTAAGAATCAAAATTGGAATTTGCGTACGAATTACAACATAAATGTGGAAAATGTTTTATACACTTCCAAAAAAATAAGATCTTTGTATAAATTACGGACTAATAACAAATAAAATAGCTGATTACGTTTTACACCTTGCCCAAGTCTACGAATTATTCATCTATTTTAAATTACCGGTACATTACCGGGGGTATAACAAAAATAAAAACAATTGATTACAGCTTACGAAAATACCCCTTGCCGACCCTCTTGACAGACAGCAGTCTGCCATGTACAGCGTGGTGCAAAGAATAGAACATGTCTTTATTTCAATCAAAAAATGTTTTTGACTTGAGATCAATGCAATGCTGAAGACATCAAAGGGAAAAACTTGATTACATAGGGAGGAAATAACAGACATGTTTACTTACCTTTCATAGTGCCTTCGTGTACATGTAGCGGCACTTGTGCTACCAGGGTTACCTCCTAAACCATCGTAAATATGCTTCCACAGTTTACGACTACAAACTCTCTCATATCCACCCCATTTTTGAGATAACTTGTAAAAATAGTACAGATCAACTGCAGAAGAAATAAAATCAACATCTTTAGTAATAATTAACTTTTCAGAAATATCAGTAAAGTTGAAGCATAATCTATCTATTAACCATTATATCAAAACACTTTCATAATATGATTTACTGTAAAATGGCTAATTTTCACTGGGTTTAAATTTTGCTGATTTACCATTTCAGGCATATTCAGTGGGTTTTAACATAGTTGGGTTTTAATTTAGCGCATTTTCCAGTAAGCAAAATAAGCAAAATTAAAACCCAGTAAATAATTAACCCCTTTACAGTACTTTACAGTATTAAGAAACATGATTATGGATTGGCTACAATTCTTACAGTAAGCAACCAATACTATTAATCATCCAATCAGAAAACTGCTTACTTACTTTGTTTAAAACCAAGGTGAGGTATCCTCTCAATTGGGGTAGTTCTTTCTTTCATATACTGATACAATGATGAGAGGAATTCAACCTCTTCTTTATCTTCACCATTTATCTGGGCTCGTGTTTTGATGTTTGGAACAAGAACTCCATCCTTATAACATCGTTCACTTTTACTCTGTTATTAGTAAAAAAAATGAAAATACTATTATCAATGGTAATATCAAAAACCAAATAAATATAGTCATGGTTTGTAGCAAATAAAAACATTGACTGTATTTCCTCTATTGGAAGTGCATCTCCAATGGAAATGAACATAAGCCATGCTGGATCCGATTGTGAATTATTCCGAGTTGTTTCAATTTCACACAACTCAATAAAACATGATCAAAATTGTGGAAAAAATTCTGGATAATTTTTACTAGTCATCCCAACACTGGTGGTGTGCTTACCTTGGCACCTGGCTTCATATGTGTAGGAGTTACTGGTGGTGCAGTGTGGGTAATTTCTGCTTCATTCGTACTGGAATCAGGTGAAGCCGGTGAAGATGCTTCAGGTGGACTTTTCCCATGTTTGATTTTAGTTTTTTTCTTTCGTGGTCTTCCTTTGAGATTTGGAGCTAAATAATTAGAAGCATATTTTTAATAATTAGCACATAGTCATCATTAAACAATAAAACATTTCTTTCTATCTGCTTTTTTTTCCTTCATACTATGAAACTTAAAACAGGATATAACTGCATATAGCGCCACCACAGGGCAAAACATAAAATTACATTGTTTTTCAATACAAAACTCACCCATATGATCACAAAGTTTTTCGTTATCAGACAGCGTTGGATGACCAAACATTTCTTTACAGTACACAAGGCGAGTGTTTCTGTTTTTCACAGTGAAGCCTCCTAAGGCAGTAACTAATGCATCACGTAGCCAAAAGTCTTTGACATGCTGAATTCGCCTCATCATTGTGATATATCGACAATATTTCGGATAACTCAGAATAATAACTTTTGTTTCATTGCCTGGATCATCACCTGAAATACAATACAGACAGGCACATAAACAAAGTGGGCAAAATAAATACATATTTATATTTATTCATTTACAGGAAACTAAACATTTATTAATTTGTTTTAACCTTTCAGAGCTCAATATTTTTCCTGTCAAAAATTCAATGCAAATTTTTTTTGCATTTTGTAAAATTTTCAAACTAACAGTTTTAGATAATTCTTTTAGTTTTTTAACAAAAGATTTGTCAATTATCATCAATATTTCATTTGGTACTTGATCAGCTAAAAAGTATATGTAAGAGCGCCCTCTGTAGTAAAGACAACCACATTATTGAGCCAGTTATTACCTATCAATTTTTTCTCTTTCTTAATATCTTTGACATTGAGTCCACCATTGTTGATGGCAAATGATTCCAGCAATGCAGCATTGTGGTCTGGCTGGTCTCCTTTTAAGTCTTTTTCATATATAGCAACAGTTCCATAATTCCAATCTTTGCCTGATTCTGTCCAATCAACCAAATCTTCTATTTTAAGAATCACTTTATCTGATGCTGCCAACACTTCATCCTGAAAGAGGGGTAAACATAGTTAAGATTTTTGCCGCAAGTTGCTTAAACTTTAATCAAGCCTTCGAATAACATAATTTCTCTTCAAAAGTTTGTTATTCATTTTCCTTCACGCACTGTGAAAATCATACACATTTGGGGTGGGAGGGGAGCTGAATGTTGAACAAATATCATTTTTGCTGTGCATATGTTTTAATTATCCATGGCTCTTTACTGTAATTTATTCCATGATATCAGTAAATATGATAATCTCAACTTGGAACTATGACAGAATTTACCAAAGTTTTCAAAATTGTTATTTAGTACACTTTAATCATCAAGTTTATTAAAAGATATATAGTACATTTTTATCAGTGATAACCTACCCACCCCAGGGTTTATTTTGATAAAAATATATAACCATACAGCTATTGTGTAGTCAATATGTAATAGAATAAACACCAGTTAATTATTCATAATATTGGGACAAACCATTGTGATTAGGGGGTGAATAATCATATATTTGGATGTTTTTTTTTTTTTATTTTCCAAAGTTTTAATCCAATCAATCATTTTCTCAGGATCCCTGAGGTTATGAATAAACACCAAAAATAAGGTAGAAAATTGTTATTTACTGTAAATTAAATTAATTTTAAGAGTATTTCCAGACAAACAAATTATAGAAATATTCAGCTTTAAACTGTTCATATGCAAACAGTTGGATTTCAAATAAAAAATCTGAATATAAATGATTAAAATCAGCCCCAGACAGGAATTCTTAGCGACATGGAAAAAATAAATTATGTTTTCATTTGGTAAGCGGTGTCTCATTTCACTATCCAATTTGTATTTAGGACTGATCAGCAAGTTTATGAGTGGGCAGATTCCTTCCACATGACTTGTAGAAAACATGTGGCATTATCTTAACAAACAGGCAACATCTGATATTATATGGGTCATGACAATGCCTCCCCTGCAGTCTGATGCTAACACATTGACTGTGGGCAGTGCAAAGTTGGCAAAGTGCCAAACTTCCCACAGTTAATTAATCCAGAGACAAAAAAGAAGTTTTACTCAGAAATCAGACAAGTATACTTTCTGAATGGAAAGAGGTATTATTATAGGGACAAGAAGACAGTAAGAATGTCATTGGACTGATTCATTTCCTGTTTGTCCTGATATCTCAATGGTAGCTAAATAGATGTAATCTATACCACTACTGGGCCAATATTAAATCCGGTTTGATAACATCTTCTAAATTTATGTTTATTTTTTTGTTTTTAAAAAATAATTATGGATCAGTAAGGGATTATGAGGAAAATAGCAATTAACTTATAATATAAACTTTTTAATGTATAGACTGATATTAAATAAGTTTGAAAAAAAGTAATACAATCAAAGTATAAACACAGGGGAAAAAATTAAAAAAGTTTAAGTAGCACCTCAGTATTTGATTTTCATAGTTTTTTAATATCTAAGCCTTTGCAATAAAAAAAATCAAATATTCTATGCTCAACAGAGCATAGAAATCAAAAACTAATTTTTAAAAAAATAAAAAAATACAGTTGTTATACTCTTTCTCACTGCAGAGTGCCAACAAGTAAGTAATTACAAACTTCTACGCCAAACAAACTTTGACTCGTGGGGATAGTGGAATTACACAGCTGTTGTGAGACTTTAAAATTGCATTTTAAACACTGTCTTTTGTTCAGGGTAGCTTCTAAAGCAGTGAGAGTGGGTGTGTTAAGACTATTGTTAAGGAAAAGACTTGGATGACCTGGTTTCCTGTTATTACTTTGAGAATTGCAAGAGTTTGCTTTTGATAAATCACTCAGTGTGTCATAACTGAGGACTGGCTCCAGATGGTGAATTGTCTTAAAATTAAATTAGTAGTCAGTACAGGTGACTGACTTCAATAGAAGTGTTGAGAATAATGATATATAGCTC